TCAGTTCTCGCATTTCAGACATCCCTTCGTCTCGAAGGGATGTCTGAAATTCAGGCTAAAAGATTTTCCTTCCATAGTTTTTCACCGTTTTGTGTTATCAATCGATAAAAATGACTTGATTGCTAACGATTTACATCGATACCGATATTATCTATATTAACTACTCCTGGATGTAATTCGGCTACACCCGAAACTACACCGACGTACGCTATTTTGAAAGGGTGGTAGATCTAGCTCGTGAAGCTGGGCGCCTACAAACCTGGCCAATTATTATCAGCCATCAGGGGAAGACTTTAAAGAAAGGATAAGATTTTTTTAAAAGTGATAATTGTTGGATCTTTCGACTGTCAAATATTGCAACTCAGTTGTCATTAAATTTAATGTTTGCATGAATTCAAAGGGAGAGAAAGAGTTTCTGGCAAATTGTTTCCAATCAAATATTTGTGAACTCATGTCTGGCAAACTCTTCAAAAGTTTATATACACACAATTATACGAAACTTATAACTTCAACTGCGCTTAACGAGCGTAACTTTCAAAACAGCTGCTCCACAAAATGTCACTGATAACGCGTAACGCAAAAGGTAAACGAAGTAAGACCAAAAAATCTACCAATTTGTGGTCCCTTCGGGATTTTCTGTCTTACTTACGGGCGCGAACAAAAGAAAACGTTAACCCCCTATCCCTTGCGGCCCCTATCTATAAAAGAAATCGATATTTTTTCTGGTATACTGACTATAAATAACAACTGCAAGTACTTTCCGTAATAAACGGGCGAGCTAATAGAGTGCTTCCTCGGAATTTCGAATTATGGGCGAAATGCCTCCTCTTCGGGGCCAATAAGTTCTTAACTGACTTTTAACGAGGGTATTTTCTAAAGTGACGAATGGCACTTGAATATCTTTGTCAACTAGTATCCGTTTACAATCCTGAAAGAACGTTGCCCTCCCCCAAAAACTACATTTTCATTCGGAAAAAGAGCCTTTTCTTGGGCTACCCCTGAACTATGTAGCAGAAAAAAAAAGACTTTTCAATTCACTGACTTTATTCCAACTACATGGTCAATACATCGTCAATACATGGCATGGTCAATATATGGCTACACATGGCAATACATAGCAATACAGGGTAATAAATAGCAATACATAGCAATACATGGCTATACACGCAGTACATGTCAATACATGTAATACATGGGAGTACATGGCTGTACATGGCTGTACATGACAGTACGTGGCTATACATGGCATTCCATGGCAATACATGGCTATAAATGGCAAAACACAGTAATACATGGTAATACATACATAGTAATAGATGGCAATACATGTCAGTACATAGTATACATGGCTATACATGGCAGTACATGGTAATACATGGCTATACAAAGCAATACATGGTAATACATGGCAATACATGGCTATACATGCGTTTCATGGCTATACATGGCAATACATGGCAATGAATGCTAATACATAGTAATACATGGCTATACATGGCAATGCATGGTAA